GCCCCTCAATCCCCAGATCCACCAGGACCTCCTGAACCGTCCTGGATTCAGGCCAGTGGATGGCGACACGGGCGACACGAGGCGCTGCCAGGGGATTCTCAAAGGCTGCTTCTCGAACAGCCTTGGAGGGCATCTCCATGGCAACCCGAACCAGAGAGGGAAATAGGAGGACGTCCCAGGTTCTGGGGTTTGGGAGGATGCGGCTGTTCCTGTTTTTCAACACTCGACCACCTAGAGAGGTCAGTTGAAGGTGATTACAGACGCGGCTTATCGCGGTTTCGTACTCTGCTGCTGAGAGCTCATCAAAGTAGCCTGGAGAATTGATAATGCGTTCGGTGGGCTCAGCTGAGTGCGTGAAGGTGGCCGAGGAACAAATGCAAATCAGAAGAATCGTGCTGAATGCATGTAGGTAGATGAACTAAAAAAGACCAATAGAGTTAATTGGGGCAATCATTGCTATGTAAATAGTGTAAGTACGTTTTTTTATTAACTGTTCTCACTTCAGTACAGTTGGTTGCAGAGTAGGAGTAGAGCTATTAATTTTTAATAGGCATTTAATAAACCATTAAGCCTTTTTTGAATTTTATGTTGAAGATAAGTTACCGTTTGGGTTAGTAGGAGGTATGGAAGTACAACTGCCTTGAGACACTCGTGTGCTTAAAACTACTAGCAGGTGAGACATAAATATACCCATCATTCAAAAACGGCATGTGTTACGAAAACGGGAACTTCAGTAAACTCGCAGTCTCAAGCGAAAAGAACAGGTGGGCTGCAACAGGTCCAACTACTTGGGATGTTTCCGCCAGGGGATTACAGCGTAAGAAAAGACCACTCAACCCGCGGCATGTCGTAGACCAGAATGTTCTAGAACGCTGTCCGCTCGCCATTGGCCGAAATGTTCGAGAGCGACCGGAGCTCCAATAAACGAGTAAGATTGTTTTAAATTTGCGAAACTTCCCGTTGAACGGTTCAAAAGATAAATTGACGAACATACGTTTGCTTTTGATAAATTCTCGTCAGGCCATTACCTTAATATGATAATTAACCAAATAAACTATGCGAGTTGGTACACACATACCTCGACTGTATGGTTTAACCAAGATTCACAAAGATTTCATGGAAAGGCATCTTTTGGGTAATAAGTAAGTTTATTGAGTAAATTTTCGACACTGGATCTCCAGGTCGTCGTCGGACTTGAGAGAAATTTGCAAACAACAGTTAGCATTTCAAAGTGCTGCTATAGTTATATAGTCATCTGGTGTGGCCGTTAATTGGGGGTTACAATTTGCGTCACATCGTGATAGACATGATTATCAGTCGCAATGGCGTAATGAATTTCTACAGAAACTTAGGGGAATCATGGTCTCCTGTGATGAGATAATAGTCTCCTTCGACGTCTTTTCCCTGTTCACATCCGTACCACTTGATTTAGCAAGGCAGTGCACATAGAAAGCCCTGAAGAGTTATGAAACGAAGGTTCCTGCAACTGCCTTACTTGAAATTGTGGACCTTAGCCTAAAAAACTATTTTTCATTTGATCATCAGTACTATCGACAACTAAAAGGAACTCCAATAGGGTCACCTTTATCTGGATTTCTTGCCGAAATAACCATGCAGAGGCTAGAATCACTGGCCCTTCCATCAATTAACCCTAAGTTATGGGTACGCTATGAAGACGACGCATTTCTTGTCGCTAAAAAGGACCATATTGAAGCACTCCACAAGACCATCAACTCAAC